ATTGCTGCTTTTATTAGTAACCAATATTGTCTTATTTTTTTGCAGGACCACCAGCAATGTATATAATCAGCTTGTTCTCCACATCCTCTCCAACAAAGTGGTGAGTATTCGTTGTTTATGAGATGTAGTTTGAGAGGCGTGTAGTACCAACGCATCATTAGTTTGATGGCTTGTGCCCTAATGTTTAGCGATGTGGAAGTAATTCCCGGCGCTGTCCATATATTATCCCAGACTTCTTGTTGTAATTGGGTTCCCAAATCCTTGTCCCAAGCAAGCTGATATGAAGATGGTTTAGTAAATATAAGGCTTAATAGTTCTTTATATATTGTTGAAATAAGACCTTTACAAGAGATTGTGTCTTGTGTTAATAGCTTTTCAAAGAAGGTGAGATCTCTGTTCGTATTTGGGTTTGAGAATTGTGAGTTCCAAAGATGGTTAACTTGGGTATACTCGAACCAATTCAGGTTGCATTTATAGTTGTGTTCCAAAGTTTTCTGATCTAGGACTTTAAAGTTTTTACTTATTTTCCCAAAGGTCGTTATGTTGTGTTTTTTCCAGGATTGAAACGAGTTGGGAGCGTATCCCGGCGTGAACCATGATTGACGTAGAAAGTGAGTTAATGTCGATGGATAGGGAGCTAATTTAAATTTCCATTTGTCCCATATTTTAAGTGAAGTATTTAGGAACATATTGTCTTTAATTGTTGAAGCTCTGTTCTTTGGAGATTCCCAGCAACTCTCTTGAAAGTTTTGTGAACCCAAATAAGAGTCTTCTAGAATTTTCCAGTCAGCAGCGTAGTTTTGGCTATGATGTTTGATAAAACCTATTAAGGTTGTAGTTTCGTAGTATATAGATAGATCTGGTAACGAGAGACCTCCTTTGTGTGGAAGTCTTCTTAAGGTTTCAGAGCTTACTCTGTGGGCCTTTTTGTTCCAAATATATACCGAAAATAGTTTTTGCCATTGTTTTAATAGCGTTTTTGGGATTTCTATTGGGATGGCCCGAAAAAAATATAAAAATTGTGGAAAGATAAATGTTTTCAATATCTGGATCTTTTCAATCCACGTAGTAAGTGAAGAAGAGGTTTCTTTGGGTAATTTTCCTAGTTTCCTCGCTACTACTAGGTGATTACAGTTGAGTAGTTCTATTAGGTCGATAGGTATGTGTATACCTAGATATTTCCATGATCTCTTAGTCCAGCAGAAATTGTAGTCTCTTTCTATTCTTGGTCTGTGTTTCACATCCAACGTGATGGGATATAGTATGGATTTTGATTTGTTTATTGTCAAACCTGACATTGTCCCATATGCTTCTAGAGTATTCAAGATTTCGTCTATAGATGTTTCAGGTTGAGTTGTGGTAATTACCATATCGTCCGCGAATAAGCTAAGTTTTATTTCTTTTTCCTTAATGCGAATTCCTGGGATGTTTTGGTTTATTCTGATGGCGTTGGCTAGCGGTTCTATCGCCAGGGCAAAAAGTAAAGGCGATATGGGGCATCCTTGTCGTGTGCCCCTAGATAGGGTGAATTTTGTCGATGTTACCCCGTTCGTTTGGATCTTAGCTGTGGGATTTTCATAAATAGTTGATATCATGTTTAAAAAATTAGTGCCAAAGTTCATGTGTTCTAATAAGGTTTGAAGATAAGTAGTTTCAACTCTGTCGAATGCTTTTTCGAAGTCAAGCGATAAAATAAAAGAAGAGTCTGTGCGGAATTTTTTGCAATATTGGATGATGTTTAAGACTTTTCTGGTATTGTCAGTTATCTCCCTATTTGGTATAAAACCAGTTTGATCCATATGAATGTAATTTTCTATTATCTTGTTGAGACGGTGAGCCATTGTTGCAGTGAAGATCTTATAGTCTTGGTTGAGCAATGAGATCGGTCTGTAAGAGCTAGTTGAGGTGATATCTCTGTCAGGTTTATGAATTAATATTATGTTCGCGGAGTTCCAAGAAGGTGGCATGATACCTTGGGTTAATACCTGGTTGCATGTTCTGGTTAAAGGATCTGTTAATATTTGGTGAAACTTCTTGTAGAATTCCGCCGAGAATCCATCATCTCCGGGTGACTTGTTGTTTTTGAGTCGTTGAATCGTTGCTTGTATTTCCTCGGTGGTAATAGGGCTTTCTAACCATTTCTTGTGTTGATCCGTAAGTTTAGAATGGAAAGGGTATTGGTGTAGAAATGTATCCATTGACATCTTTGTAGGAGAGTTTGATTTATATAATGACGTATAATATTCTAAAAAAATTTTTGATATCTCTTTTGGAGAGTACACCATTTGGCCCTTTTTGTCCTTGATTGCATAAATAGCGTTTTCTGTAATTTTCTTTTTGTATTTCCATGCGAGCAGTTTAATGGATTGTGGCGATTTGTACCAGTATTTCTGCTTAGTATAAGCTATCTGCTTTTGAATCTGTGAGATTTCAATGGAGTCTAGTTTTTTGCGCTCTAAAAGAAGGGTTTTGTAGACTCGTTTATTCCCATGTTTACTGAATTCAAGCTCTAGGTTTTTGATTTTGTCTATTAGTTCCTGTTTTAATGCTTGTTTTTCTTTTTTATAGGCTGAAGTGATCGCTATGATTTTTCCTCGGAGTACGGCTTTCAACGAGTCCCATACGATGTGGTGGGAGACTCCACAGTTCAAATTGAAGTGCAAATAATCTTTGATTTCTTTCTCTAGAGCTTCTGTTGCTGTTTGTAACAATAAAATTTTTGGGTTTAATCTCCAAGTGTATTGTCTTTTATCGCCTGTTCCTATGTCCATTTTGGCTTCAACCCAGGAGTGATCTGACCACACACGTGGCCCTATTGATGCTTCTGAAAAGAAATTTGAAATAGACGATGAGGCTAGAATATAATCGATTCTAGAGTGTGATTGGTATTTGGGCGAGAAGTATGTATAATCTCTCATCGTTGTGTTGTGGGCTCTCCAGACATCTATTAAATCAAAATGGTTAATAATGTTTTGTAATTCTGTGTCTCCGTTTGTCTTGCCATAGTTGCGTCTTGTAGCTTGTGTTCTTGGTGGATTTGATTTGTCTAAGTTCTGATTTATAATGAAGTTCAAATCTCCACCTATTACTAATGGATCTGTGCTAAACATTGCTAGCTTATACAAAGTATTACGGATATAGGCAGCTTGGCCTTCATTAGGTACATATAAAGAGACCAGTGTTAAAGCCTGGCCTTGAAGGTTTCCATTCAAAAATAAATATCTCCCTTCCGGATCTTGTTCTATTTTATTAACTTGAAATTGCAGTGATTTATGTATTAAAATAGCCACTCCTCTAGATTTCGAGGAGCCCTGTGCTTGGAACTGTTTAGAAAACTTTGTAGAATTAAAAACTGTTTCTATGTTGCCCTTGAGATGTGTTTCTTGTAAGAATATAATTGTTGCTTTTTGTCTTGATAACTCTGTAAGAACTCTTTTCTTTTTGATGGGAGAATTTAGGCCCCTACAATTCAGGGTGAGATATCGTATTTGTTGTTTAGGAATCATTGATAAATGTTCCAAATTGCCTTTTAATGTGCACATACATTTGACCGGACGTCGAAGAGAGTGATAAAAAAGATGTGTTAAGCGTTTTCAAGACCAATGTTTTTTTGTGATCTGTGTCGCTACATTTGCCAAACATTACAAACAAACTGAATAAATAATACCCATTAACAATCATTATAACCAAACTACGCAAAGTCAACTATTTGACTCTGCTCCCCCCTTTCCTTCAGGGTATTTAGCTAAAAAAGCTTCCCTATAAAAACTTAACTAAGAACTGTGAGGACAAAACTTCAGTCCCAACTCATTTTCCCCTTGATGCTTAACCGATCTTATTGAAGTCATTACTCAATTATATAGGTTTTGTTATCAGTTACTAGTCTTCCAAATCTTTTTCTGTAAAAACTATGAAAAACAAATTAACATTTACTGTGGAGAACCCTATCAACCGTCTAAGCATGTCTGAAAAAATCTATTGTGGTATTATCACAGTTTATTGTTCATTGTCAATCAACATTTATATTCGATGTTGTCTAGTCCTTATAGCTGATTTTGTTATTTTTTTTTCCTCTTTTAAAAAAAAAAAAAAAATTGTATCCATATGTGGTTTACCAGTAAGTGGTGTTTAGTGGATGGACTTACAGAGTGGACAATATTACGTTGTGATTTTTAAATATCTTAATAAATGGTGTCAATCTAAAGAAATTTCCAAAATTAATAATATATTAATCAAATATAAAGTATCAGTTGGAAACGATATTTATAGTTGTTACTTTTATTTTCTAAACTATTAACATTAAAGTTGTTCTGGAAATTATATTTCATTACCAGTGCCAAAAATAAAATGAAAATGTTCATCTAAAAAACCCTAAATTCTGTGTCATGTATTGATGTGACGTGAGCACGACTTGTTGTTCAATATAAGTTGGTTCATAGGTTTAGTAATATTCAGTCAAGATACTACTATATATTAGGAGTCGTGCTATTATCAGACTCGCCCCTAGATGGTACTGTTGTATAAGCTTAAATAAAAAGTTATAAAATGCACTATCGTTTAACTAGTTCAGTGCACAATACTGTTTGAAGAGAGTTTTAAAAATTAAAAATTGAAAATAGTGATCAAATGATAGACTCTAATATATACATAAGATATATATATGTATAACTGTTATATGATGTTCTATTTCCATTAAGGTTGTCATAGCTTCATCATATATACTAGAAAACACAAAAAGAATAATAGTTATTCTTACAAAATTTGTCAAGGGCTATTCACTTTTTTTTTTACTAAACACTTCAAATGCGTGGAAGAACTAGACTTTGAACATTAACTTATCCAAATATCAAAAAAGTCATTGCCATCAAATCTTGTGCTATTTACACAGATATAAAGCAAATTGAGTAGAAATACAAATGATAAGATACTTATGATCTCATTTTGAAAATGGTTATGGCACAATCTAAAAATTATAGTTGTTAATATATGTTAATATACTTCCCAAAAAGTGTAGTGCTGTTCAAGTGTTCTTCCCTCTCCTGTTCCTGCGGTCTTTGGCGTTCCTCCATCTTGCCTGCTGGTCTTGAGATGATGCTGGTGCAGCTGATTGGAGATCTTGAGATGGTTGCAGGTGAAGTTTTTGCAAAAGTTCTAGTCCTGTCTCGAGGTCCGTGGCATGTAGTATCATTCCTTGTGCGTTGACCTGCAATTTACTATATGAAACCCACTTATAGCTTATTTGGGCTTCCATAAGCGTTTGCACTATGGGCTTCAGATTTTTCCTTCTTTGCAGCGTTTCCATAGAGAGATCTTGGTAGACCTGTATCTTATTATTTTGTAGTTTCAAGGTTCCTTGCTTTCTTGCTATAGAAAGAATTTTTGCTTTAATTTGGGAGTCCATAAGTTTGATGACTACATCTCTGGGGATGTTGCTGTTCCCTGCTCGTTTGGCTCCCACTCTGTAAGCAGAGTCAATTAGTGGCGCAGTTGCTGCTTCGATTTCTAAGATGGAGGTCAGCCAGTCGTTAATTAGGATTTTTAGTTCTGATGGTGTGGCTATGTCCTCAGGGATGCCGCGAAGTTTAAGGTTATTAGCTTTTAACTGGTTTTCCAGACTTATTATTTTATCTGTTGCCCATTCTTCTCTCTGGTAAAAATGTGCAGCGTCATCTTGTAACATTAGGCAGTTCTCCATTGCTGCATCAGCTGTATCGGCTACTGCTGAGATTGATTGTTTCATTTCATTCAGTTGCGTTGTTATGGGCTTTAATAATTCAGCGACAGTAGCGGCCATATTTTTTTCTAAGGTATGAATTGTTTCTAGAAATTCTTGGCGCGAGATTGTAAGGCCGTTTGGAGTGCGATCTCCGGTTTCCGCCGCCATTTTAGTTTCCGTTTGAGCGCTTATTTTGGCGGATCGGGTTCTCGCGTTTCTGGTGGAATGGGTCGCACCTGGGGTATTTGCAAGCTTAAAATTCTTACCCCTCGCAGTGCAGCTTCTTCCCATCACTTTTTGGGTAGTTTGTTAGATCGAACGATCGTCTTTAAAGGCTGTTTAGGGGAAAATGTCGGGAGCTTTCCGTTCAGGCGTCCGCCATTTATCGTCCCGACGCCACGCCATGTATGAATGTTGAGAAGTTTTTTAGGTCTGATTGTGAATATTTTAAATGAGTTTTACGTTTTTTAAAAATGTGTACACCTTAATAAATTTTGTATGTTTATTATATGTAGTGTCAGCTTAACCCTTGTGGATTCATAGCAGCTTTTTGGGTTGAGTTTTTTTTTTCCCTTACCCCCCCCTTTTTCTTTTCTTCTCCCTTTTTTTTCTTCCTCCCTCCTTTCTTTTTGTTTGTGGTTTTCTATGCATGCCATGTGCAAAAGATCTCTGTACAGATGTTGGTGCTGTGTTATTCCCCCCTGAAGGTTGAATAAAGGTGCGGAGGGGGACAATCTAAAAGAGTTTAAGAGAAACTGACTTGGACCAGCAGCTATGGCAAAAAATAAATAAATAGGGCAACACTTAAATACATGTTTACCTTTTATTAATTGTCCCCTGGAGCTCATAATATGATCAGGAACTCAGTGGTTTTGCTTTTCAAAAGCTATAAAATGGCCCCACTGGTGGACCTCCTGATAGCACCTGGTATTTTTGGCCACTGTGTGACAGAGTGCTGGACTGGATGGGCCATTGGCCTGATCCAACATTGGCTTCTCTTACGTTCTTGTGTAAACACTAAACCTTTGCTGAATTTCTATCTCTTGCACAAACATTTTAAAGCTCTGTATGTATGTTCATGTGTTACATAGGGGAAGCTGTGGTATTGCAGTGCTTAGCATGCCAGATTAGAAATGGGTAGATACATTGGCCATGAAAGTCTCTCCCTTTTCCTGCTTTCTTCAGTCAAGCTGACAGGTTTTCTCCAGGAGCATCCTGCCTCGCCACTGATTGGTGCATTTGGTTCCTTTCAAAACTTGCTGGCTGCAATGGAGTAAAAGCAGACCAGGGTGTTGCCTCTTTGTCAAGCCACAGAGAAAAGAAAGACCACATGCACGGAGCTTGGCCATGGTGGTTACAGGCTTACTTAATAAGAAAATACCTGACATTTATATGTCTTGGTGTTTATTTACTGGACAAAAAGGGCAAATACTGGATTGTCCAGTTCAAAACTGAACACACAGCAACCCTACTTGGTAGTGTGAGAGCCACCACTTGTGCTCTTGACCCTTGCCCATCTTGGCTTTTAAAATTATGCCAAGAAAGGGTACTGGCGAAAATTGTTAATGCTTTGTTGGCTGATGGGGCTTTCCCTAGACTTTTGAAGGAGGTTATAATTAGAGCTTTGCTTAAAAACACCCTTCACTGGCTAAGGATAAGGTTGCCAGTCTCCATGTTACCTTTTCTGGGGAAGGTGATACAGCATGTGGTGGCAGAGCAGCTCCAGGGGCTGATCCATTTCAGTCTGGGGTTGGAACTGAGACAGCTTTAGTTGCATTGGTGAACGATCTTTGTCTAAAGCTGGACAGTGACAGTCATACCTGTTGGCACTGTTAGATCTATCAGTGACCTGTGACACTATTGACCACTCTATTTTTATCCATCAGTTGTAATATGGAATTATTATTAAGTATATAACCCTTTGATG